TCTCTTTGTTTTTGAGAATGAACGGTTAACAATTTATTGGTTCAAGTCACGACTTTAAATATAGACAAGATCGTGAAAAAGGCAAAATGCAAGAGATTCCAAAATTGTTAAAAAATCTCTAATTTCAGTTAAAAATATATTTCAGATATGTTAGAAAGTTATTATTCAAGTTTCACACTAAAGTCACATTATGCGCTGTTCTACATGTTTATATTTTTTGTCTGCATAATTGATTAAAATGACTTTTTAAAAGTTGAACGTCAAGGAACGTAGCAGAAGTAATTTACGACACTCTTTTGTTTTCATTTAAGTAAACCAAGAAGTATATTATTGTTGCAATACATACGTGAAAAACATGAGGAAAAATGACAAATTTCTAAATAACCAGCGCCTATTTGTCAATGATATAATTTTTGTTGTATTTTTCGGAGACATATATCTATAGTTTCCTGTCATATTTCACTAAGTAGTATACGAGTAACCAGACGCATATAGTACATACTGTGTAGAAAGAAATGCTAAAACGCTATTAAATTCGGGTAAAACTCTTATCAACATGAGGAAAATCTTGTCTTGAGCAGACGTTTAAAGATTTAATGGTTAATCTTTCATGTAAAAAGACTGCAGCTTATGTTTAAACAGCTTATTGCTTAAGTTATATTTGCAGAATGTTCTCTTATCTTAGCCGTGAAATTTGTTGAAAAAAATCTAAAATCTCGCTTGTCATGAATTTCAATGAAAGCAATGTTATTCCCGATGTGACATGGGCGTATAAGTAACTTTACACCGGACAAATTGACTAATACAAGAACGTTAACCCTTTGTGTGAAATAATAAAACAAACAACATATTGTTTCAAGGGTAGATTATTTGTAAAGTGAGGAATTAATCAGGGCAAATGTCAACATGATATTATTGATGCAATGGTATAATCGTGAAGGTACTATAGGAGGGGTTATCATTTGACTTTGCTTTATTTGTGTATTTTGTTTTACAAAAGTCAATTTGGCAAATTGGACACCAGTAAATAAAGAAAAGAAAGCAACCTTAAACTATATATCTAAGATAAAATTGTAAAATAAGCATTCGTTTAACTTTTTTCGTACTTATTTCTTGTTGTATAGATTGTCATACTTAAAATCAATCTTGCGCAATCACTAGGCGCTAAAACATCCATTATAGAATGCTTTCTTGTTAACCTGATATGCTGAAACAGTGTTGGCACATTCCATCACATATTTCTAGGCGCTACCCGTGAATGATTATTTTTCAGGCAGGCTAAATAGGTTTATTCGAACATTTAGGAGTTCATATTACTTTTTTTTATTACTTGCTTCTGGAACAATGGATGTTTCATTACGTCATAGATAATCAGTGTGTTTACTATGAACTTATGTTATTGAACACCTGGAGTTAACAAAACACACTAGCTAAAACCACACATATTCTTAGTATAAAGTAGTTGAATTAGTGCGTTGCTAACACATTGTTGACCTTTTAGATATAACATTTCGACATATTTATCTTGAAGACAATGTTTATGATTTCCTTTAAAATGTATTTGATTCTTATAATTCATCTCTGTGTTTTACGAATACACATTTTACCAGTACCAACTTAAATTTGTGTAAAAACAAAATTTTTTGGTTAAAAATGTTTGGTTGTTAATTGCTATTGATATTTCTTCATTAATATATAAACTGAGATATCAGCAGTAGAGATTTTGGGATCCGAACTTGAGGCATTATGTCTTCAGCTGCTAAAGTGACGCACCTTGTCTCATTTGCGTTGATGATCTTAACAATAAATGTGTTGTTTGTATGTATAAATACATAGTTTTGTAGACGTTTGCTAAACATGTGTATTCAACCTCCTAAAAGAAAGCCAAAATTATTTTACGTTGACTTCCGATGGTATCGTCAGCGTGTTGAATAACATCAACATGATTAACGTAAATAAACATTGTCTAAAAATGGGAAATGATGCAGATGGTAAAAATTACCCTTTTTTGACAAAAGTCTTTGGTCCTTTTCTTGTACTAATCAGAGTTGGTGTCAGGCAAGGAAATAAAGTCTTGACCTTTGTTTTTCTCCAACCCACTAGCTTAAAGATGAGTGGCACGCAAATGATCCATTGTTGGTGTTTAGATTAAATGATAAGTTTTTGTCAATAATAGCAAACCACCCTATTGAATGTTTCTTCATTAAACAATTAAATACTATGGTTTATTTATTATGTAAGTGAAATCCATTAAATCTGAACAAGGAATACCAATTAAAAGAAAACATAAAACAATATAGTTAATAATTACATTGGCAACATCCAAAGCAAGATGGGCGGTATCAGAATATGTTAAAGACAAAGTAGCCGTGCCATGACAAAACCAACATAATGCGTTTGCGACCAGCATGGATCCAGACCAGCCTGCGCATTCGCGCAGTCTGATCAGGTTCCATGTATGTTGTTACCTTACAAACCCTATAACAAGTAGAGAAACTCATAGCGAACAGCATGGATCCTGATCAGACTGCGCAGGCTGGTCTGGATCCATGCTGGTCGCAAACGCATTACGTTGGTTTTGTCATGGCGAAGCTCAAATGCGGTTTGTTACAATATGAATGTAAATTTTAACATTTTTGTTGAAAACCATGCATTTTTGTAATAATTCTAAATAACTTTAAATCATAGAAATCAAAGATGTGTGGTGCATTTCAAAAGTTATCTTATATCTTACCAGATGTTTTATACTTAAGTTGTTGGGCATCTCTTTTAAGATAGCGAGGCAAAAGTATTTTTGGATCTCTTACATATTTCGGCATGTTACGCAAGAAAAGGTAAACGAAAATACAATATAATAAATGCTCACTTTACTTTTGCCTATATTTACGGTTTGAAAGACACCAGTTGGTAGATAATCAATCAAACTTGATTACAGTTTGAAAAGTTTGTGGAAGAAATCCGTTTGTTTTGTTAGAAGGCAATATATTCTCTTCCTAGAATCAACCATGAACATGGCACGATATTCAGAATTCCAATGTCAAGTCGGCCATTAATACTACAGCTATTATAATAATTTATTTCGTCACACTTCGAGTTCATATCACTAATATGACAAAGTACCTCGTTAATATCTGTGTGCAGTCAATAATATACTAAGTTACCGTCACAAAGATATCAATAAAGAAGAGAACAAACATCTGGTAGTCAGGCTTTCAATGAGTATCACTGGTTTGCGTTTAATTAAGCGTTAAAATATATGGTAGTCAGGCTTTCATTGAGTATCAATGATTTTCCGTTTTGCCGATTTTGTGTAATAATATTGCCCTGCTTTGAATTTGGAACAGTCCTTGCAAAGTTTTAGGGATTTTAATATCAAAATACAAAAAATTAAAATACCACAGTATAAAGCCTGGTCATACTGTACTGATGTGCGGACTGACTTGGCTCTGTACTGGTGGCAATCACTTCAGGTCTCAGCAAGTCATGGGTAAATGTACGCAATAAAAGTCGATGGAAGACTTAAATATGTATTTATATGTTTACCCCCAATGTCTGTCTTTACTTTTGAATTAACCTTTAAACAATTACCGATAAGTAAGCACTAAGCAGTCTATATAAGAAGCTATTTCGATGATTTTTAGTTTTCTCTTTAGACTTTTAACCTTGCCATTATCCAAAAAGATTTATAATTATATATAGTTATACAAAAAAAATCGAGTTTCTGTATCTTGGAATGACTTATTCTTAAATCAAAGTTTCTTTTTTGTAGACTAAAATATAAATTCAAGTTTCATTTTTGTAAAGCATTATGTTGCAAAGATATACATGTATATAACAAGTCTTATTCCTGAAGCGGAGATTGATTATAAATTCTGATACGAATGAATATCAAGGTATATCAGCTCTAAACATACCTTTATACTTGCACTGCATTATGGGAGAAGTTTTTTAACATTACAAAGAATATTGCACAACATTAGTCAGGTGAAACATTACAACAGTTAAATTATTTAAGCACATTTTGATAATAGATTTACAAGGGGAAGGCATTCACCTTATCCACATACCAACACATATCGAGTTGCTCCGTGTTTTTTGGAGTGTTTTGGAACAGGGATTTTTTTATTTCTGTTTTCTACATACAACTTTGTTTCATGCTAAACACACAGATTCCTTATGGATCTTATGAAAGTCTTCTAGAACAAAAAAGTTAACGCCTTAATGAAATGAAGAAACTTATTTTTGTCAAAAAAAAAAATGGCAAGCTCCTTTTTTCATCTGTTAATACTTCCAAAATGACACATGACGTCACAACATACGAGTATAGTGCTTGTCGTCTGCTGCTGACATGTATATGAGACATAATTATAAAGAACATGTTAGAGACAGAAAAGCTATTAAATCCTTGTAAACTTGCGCGTTGCAATTTCGAACATCTGAATTCTCTTAGAGTTTAAACGATGCAGTGACGGGGTTTAGTCATAACTTATTAAATAAATGTAGCGTTCCTGCCTGACGGAAACCGGTGTAACGGATTGTTATGTATTTCTAATTATCTCCCTCAAAGAATATGCCTTCTGGTGTCAATATGGTGCATTTTGCTGATAAACTACATATACAGTGTACACATGGTTTGCCATTTTACATGTCCCTTTCCTATTACATGAAACTGTTTCTAACCACCTAAACTACATGTTAATTTTCATAATAAAAATCAACAGTATTTAACATAATCAATAATTCCGTAATTCGTAATCTGGTACATAAGTCATTTGTATCTAAACGTTAAAAAAACGTTAAATTAAATTGAAATTTCTTAACCTTCTCAGAAAGGAGTCTATAAGCGTTTAAACATTTCATAAAGGAATACATATCAACTTTGGGGTGGGGGTCGGGATAAGATAGCTGTGTATCAATATATGAGATATCTAAGATATAAAGATTAATACATGTACATCAACTTACATGTGCATGTATATTATCTATACCAAGGAACTTACCAGGTACGATGTCAGAAACTGCTCTCCATCCATTCAACCAAACTGCATCTACATTTTCTTTCACCATCATGTTTTTGATCATCTTAGCCCTGTATCTACGACCAGGTGCTAGAAGCTGACCCTGTCTCGAACATCTTGCCTCCGCGTCCTCCCATAAAAACGTAAACTTGGAAAGTTCCATAGAATCTGAAATAAAAACAAAAACTTGAAACACAAGTACTACTTGGTGTCTTTAATCTAGGCTACTTAAATTATAAAAAATGAATAATGAAGATTGTGGTTTAATTTAATGATTTAAGTTATGAAATGAAATGTTGTAATGAAAATAATTGCGGCTATATGTAATCATGAAATATGAACATGAAAATATGGACTTTCGTTTATAAAATGACTTCCTTAATGCAAACTTCATGCGTTCTAAATAATAAACTAAGGGTTAAAATTTATATCGTTTATATGTTGATGGAAACAAAATAACAAGATTTTCGAAATATGTATAAAAAAAAAATGAGAACACTGATTTTATGATATTTAAGATTAATTTTCGAGATATTTCAATCAGAGCAGATTGGTAATTTGCCAATATTTCAATTATCTTTGTAAAGTTAAAAGAAAACTGAGAAAGGTTCAGGAAATATAGTCAAAGATTGATTAGTACTGTTGGTCCTCTGGATATAAATTCATTTTTGGCGGCATCGAGCTTAGATCGTCTGCCTTTCAAATCGGAGATCCTGGGTAGATAATGGCACCGGAAACTATCGGAAACAGACGGCACAGTCATAGACTGTGACTCAAAGTTACTTTCTAAGAACGTATATCTACTGCAAACTATAACGAAATACAGACACTTGCAGGTGTCGTAAAACGAACTGATGACGAACGTCATATGTCGTAAAAAATATTTAATGAAAGAGGTCTTTAATCATCTTCCGTACGATTAAAGCCGTTTTATTCCGGTGTTTTACATACATTTATCACAAACCTTTGCACTTTTTACGTCTCCGTAATATAACAATATCGCACGGATGAGCACTCGTATTTTGGACGTGACGTCATACGCGTCACTCGAACAACGTAAAGTCTCGCTAAATGCATTACAGTATAAGCGCGTCAATGAAAAAAATGACTTAAAAATGACTTAAGTATTTTTTTCTTTCTTTTTATGTGATACGTGATAGAAAGAATAGTATAGCTTCATTACAAAATTAATTGAACTGGTTACAAAAAAATGCTATGCGCGCTAAAGTCTCGCATAATATAATTTTATTCAACGAGTATAATTACATCTATTATTTATGAATTATTGCATTATTATCTGAAGAGAGTTATGAAGATTTATTAAATGCAAGAAAATTTTATTAAATTCAAGAAAGTTTAAATATTCATGAAAGTTTTATTATTCATGAAAGTTTTATTCTATTCAAGAAAGTTTTAGTCTATTCAAGAAAGTTTTATTCTATTCAAAAAAGTTAAACACGTTTCAGCAAAGATGTAAGTAAAGTGGAGGTTTTGTCTGTTGATATTCATGAAGATGATTTTTTTTCTGGTATCTATGCAAAAATACACAACTTCCTAGCAGGAATGATCTGTAACATTAATGTAAGCGTGGGAACAAGAGAAAATCTGATGTCTTAAACAAATGGTACGTTTCACTAAGAAACATATATGATTTTTTGTTTGTTGAGGTAAATACTCGCATATTTTATATAGATCTATAGAAAATTAGATCAGTGATAATTCTGAACGATATTTGATGGGCAGTCCATGTAGAGAAATAAATTCTAGATATAACAGAGTAAGAACGCAAGTCTTCGCTATTATTTATAATTTTAACAGACATTATCTTATCATAATTATAAACTTAACTTCATCGTTTCTTTTAATTTTGAAATAAAAATGACAACGATCCAATGATTTAGGTCCTGCTCTCTTTTCCAGCGAAATTATCTAAATCTAAATCTGCATTAAGAACATTTTAAAATCTGTACTTCATTTATTGCTTACGCGACAACTATCTTGATAAGCTATAAATTTAGACACTACGGTGTAATAAAAGCGCCATCATCTCACTGCCGTATTTTTAATCTTCAATTAATACGTCAATATTAGTACCCTCAAGCTTTATACTGCTCTAGAATTCCAATGTTAAACCTGTTTTGCTAATTTCACTGCCATATGTACTCTTCATTAAAATGTTTCAGGCAATCTGATATTTGTTAAAACTTTTGAAGTTTTGATTTTAGCGAAAATAAAGAAACTGGTATGTTGCTCAGCTGAAGTCGTAAAATCTTGTTCCGAAAAGTTTCAAACATATTATATGTGTGTTCATGGAATATTTTGAATCTTAATCCATACTTTATCTGTAGCAGCTCTCTGTGATATTTCATTTTTTGAAACCATTATGACCGTTTTTTACGCAACATTACATCTGAAGTAAATTATATGTAATGTACAGCACGTGTTGTCTCGTGTATTTATTTATATGCGATATATCCCATGTGTCGTCTGTTGTATTGATATGTAATGTATATCGTGTGTTGATAAAATATGCGTATATATTTTAGTAGATCAAGAATGTCTTTAAAAGTGCAAACTTGCAGATATTCTTGGAGAAGAAAGGAAGGTAGTGTTTATATTGTATGTTATGCTATGTTCTTCAATTATTGTAGATGAATATCATTTCATTTGTATATGCCATTGATATGCAGGAACGAAAAAAGATATTTGAAAAGATATAATAAATCAGCCCGTTTATAATTTCTTTTAAAACTATTGAACATGAATAGTAAAGATGGATAAATAGCCACGACACATCAGACTTGCGTTCTAAATGCACGAAACAAACGCCAAGGATCGCTTTTCTCAGTGCGCCATGAACTAGAACGTCCTATGGACGCCATACAGTCCTTACATATATATCGTGTGATGAATTATATGTAATATAATTTATTTCATATGTTATAATGAGTCATTCAATTTGTATACAAAATGATTAAACACATTATTTTGCATTAACGAATGAAACATATTTGCATAATGAACGTGACACAGTATGCTCTACACAATCTTTTCTTATCAAAGGCAGAATTTATTTTAGATGAAAGGCCTACCGCATGCATTAGGATTAAACGCTGAATTGTTTTGCATATAAACCAAACATTTGTTTTGCTTTCCAAATAACAGAATTATCATAAAGATTATGAGTTCCTAAAATCATGTCATTTTTTTCTTAATTAACAGTGCATAATATGCAATGAATAAACATAAATATGCAAACTTCCGTATAAAATGTCACCGTGACATTATGTTATAATAAATATTTCGTTGCCAAGTCAGTGGCATCTATATGCCAGCTAGTTCATGATGGTATGAGAGAAGCACGCGTTCCAGATTTATTCTATTTTTTATGAAAATATAAGGTATTTAATATGTCAAAATATTGTTTACTGTTAAATGAATTTTACTACTGATTTAGGAACGAACTATCTACAGAAGTTACTTTTAATGTGTCGAAATATACTGCTCAATTTTATTTCGACACGTAACTAATTTATCTCTTTCTGAACGACACGTGACTACTTAATCTTTTTCTGAACGATATCTTTTTCTTAACGATATATGACTACTTTTTTTCCCTTCTGAACGACACATGACCACTTAATCTCTTTCTGAACGACACGTAACTAAATTATCTCCTTCTGAACGGCATGTGACTATTTTATCTCTTTCTGAACGACACGTAACTAAATTAACTCTTTCTGAACAGCACGTGACTATTTTCTCTCTTTCTGAACGACACGTAACTAAATTATCTCCTTCTGAACGGCACGTGACTATTTTATCTCTTTCTGAACGACACGTGACTATTTCATCTCCTTCTGAACGACACGTGACCACGTAATCTCTTTCTGAACGACACGTAATTAAATTATCTCTTTCTGAACGACACGTGATTACTTTACCTCTTTCTGAACGATACGTAACTAATTCATCTCTTTCTGAACGACATTTGACTATTTTATATGTGACACGTACTTGGTCTTATTCGAAAAAGTGCTTTCATGATCAAAATTCCAACCTGTCTAAAGCCACAGAGCTAAGATTTAATCTGTAACATAATCATGATAATGTCTTTTTATTAATGAATCAGGCAATAAGTGTTAGTATTATATCTCCGATCTCCTCTTAACTCAATGTCGTTATTTCAGTTTTAGTTTAACGGTGGTTCTATAAAGAAATGTGCTACAGGTATATACCTGTATCCTAAATTACGTATTTACCACGAGCTCCACCTTACCACATTATTATTTTATAGCATTTTATCTCCATGGCAAAAAATTGATTCACTTAACAAAATGATGCTTCGGTGATAATTACAAACAACTGTGTAATTATCATTATAATAAAATGTTTTTATCCGGTGGCAAAATAATTAACATCAATACGATAATAACAGGTAATTCTTTTCTTGGCTTAATATACTTTTTCTTATATCATGATATATTTGTTAACACGAAAACATCGTGCTGTCTTCCAAACATATGTTACGAAATAGAAGCTCGTTAATCTACTCACTGATTACTTTTTTTCTTCGCTGTTGAATGCGCGTGAATATAATTATTTAACCTTGCAAAAACATTTAAAGGACGCTGAATAGTTATTTACGCTCCCTCTGCGTTACGAGCTTAGTTTCCCGCGCTTTTCTCATAGTAGCAATGCCGGAAAATACGCTATTCGCTCCTGTAGTCAAAGTTCGCGGGAATTCCTAATTATGTTTTATTGAAGCAATACAAAATAATTATAACTACCATCTATTATTTCGTTGAGAATCTACTTAAAGCGCATTCACTTTGCTAAATAAAACGCAAAATATGATTTTAAAAGCCAGTGAGATTGAAAGAAAGATTTTGAAAGAAGCCATAAAAGCCCGCTCCAAAAAGGAAGGTAATATAAGAATCAAAGATACAATGACACAGATAAAAGACATAGAAGCAGACGAGAATGCAATATGTCTACAGAAAACATGTGCACTTACAGAAATAAATGATTTACCCATTTTCGCGGTTTCCCAATTACAAAATAAAGCATAATGACAGCATATATAGCAAAGGATTTGAGAAACATGTATTTTGCATGAACAAAACAGATTTGAACTAAGGAAGATGTAAGAAAATGAATTTAAATAT